ACATGACCATATATATCTTTTATGGTTGAATAAAATTTATTTATTATCAATAATGAAACTAGATACGTTTTTCTGTTAAATGTTCTATTTATATAATTGGTAATTTAGTTTATACGGTCATCAAAATGGTGTTTACAAAACGAATCCGTGAAACTATTAAATTTGTTTGCAACGTAAAACTAGTCAAAAGTTTGTTAGGTAGTATACGAAAGTCAAGGAAAGTTTCGTTGGCAGTGAGGGTATTTACTACACTGCATTCAGATTTATGCCGGTCTCACGGAAGCCGCCGCCCGCTGTTGCTCAATACTGATAATGAACGGGGCGGAAACTATAAATCTACTTAGTTACAAAACTTGGGTAATGGAGAAAAATTAGGAAACTCTATAAGCATTGTGCATTATATCGTTTGTTGATAGTTCGTTGGCGTCGCAGCGAGTGATCCGACGCGTGCCATTCGAACCCGCTTAGTGAGGTTTCCGCTTAAGGGAATTAATCTGAAATTAGGTCGCATTTAACTGACGGTGTTAAGTGTAGGTCACTGTACGCATCTACTCTACAGAAACGAAAGTTTATTCTGTTACGAATTAAGTAGATCAATCGAATTAAAACCTACATTTGTTTTTTATTAAACAAATATTTATTTGAATTAATGATAGATTTTTGTTTTTAAAAATAACACATAACAAGTCACATCACTTTTGAATAAAAACAAGTAAGGCATTACAATAAGGTAAATATAAATGAATTAGTAAACTTAAACAGTCTTACTTGAGACGGTTTGACCCTCTGATCATGAAATGTTTTGAGAACAACAATGTATAATGTTACCCATAAATGTATAAGGGCTGCGACACGCTAAATACATCGACAAAGAATTTACGTTATTCTTCGTAGCCAAATGTTTCATTTTCCATAACATTATGTTTCAATAAATATTTTGTAAAGCGCGAAAATTAAAATTAAAACAAAATAGTAGCACAGTACCAATTTACATTGCTTGCAAAATTCACAACGGAAATCCAATGCAAAGAATTTGGAACAATAATTTGTTTATTTTCTTAAACCTTGAAATTAATTTAAAGTTTCGTTCCGCGTATTGCTGTTGTTTTTCTTATCGATAGTCATACCAACCCTAGTGGTCATACGTTTTGTATAATGTGGACGCGACAAATCAAGTCCCGCGCCTCGCCGGGGCGGCCCCGTATCGACAGACAGCTGATTTATCGCGGAGCCGCACTATCGCTCCGGGACTGTCTTATTTAGAACACTACTAAACACCACCCCATGATATAAACCACCACAATAATGTCATGCGTTAATAAGGTCAATTAGAAGTAACATATCAATAGCTGCAGTATACCTAGGTACTAAGGTGTAATAATAATAATAATAAGATTCAAAAGGCGGTTATTTTAGAAACCGCACGACTAGTGAGGAGGTTCCTGTCTCTGCAGCCCTGACCACTGGTTGCTTGAGTCATCGNNNNTCTATTTTTTATATAATATATTTTATTTTATTTTTATATTCTTGTAAAATGTATTATATAGAGAATAAGAAATAAAGACATATGGAGTATAATAATAATAAAGCTTTTTTATTTCCATATCTAAGATTTTTACAATTGATTTACATAGTATTTGTTAGTAATTGACTTATAAAAAGTATGTACAATTTTTTGCGTTAGAATTGTAAGTTTCTTAGTTTTAGATATAAGGTATAGGTAACTTAAATAACAATAATTATAGGTTTTTGTATTAGAACCTTAGACAAATCGCTAACATAATCTGACAAGTAGAGTCAGTTTACAAATTCTTAAGAGTTCAATACAGTTATAGATATGAAAGTGCAGTGCTTATCTTTTTACCGACACAAAGAAAGAATTTAGTACCAAAATTAAGTCAGTATTAATATAAAAATATGCAAAATTTGTAGGGGCGTAGCAAGTTGTTTTTCTGGACCGGGTCACTCGCTATTAAATTTAGTCCATCTTTGCAGAGGACGCATAATCGGCTGTTAACTGCCGGTGACCGTGGTAAATCTCTAGTAATCCGAACCAGAACAAATATAGTTGAGAGGAAGATAAGGTGGGTCCGGCGTGGCGAGGCGACCGCACGGCGCTAATGTGCCATTTGTATGATGATGTCCCCGACCGGCCGCCGAGTGCCCGCTCCCCAGGGCACCGCGCTAAATGACCTCCAAATGTTCTCCGCCTATCCTCAACAAACACAACTACCACCTCTTCGTATCCGCATTCTTTCTGACTAAACATCTATCTTAACTTAATTTTGGCACTTTACAGTACATTTTTATGTGTTTCAGAGACACTAAAAAAAATACCATTGTTATAGTCGTTAACAGATGTAACATGTATCCTCCGAGGACCACGCATCACTATTTTTTCCATCGTGTTAAGTTAATAGAGAGTGACTAATTAATTAAAGTACAAAACGATAATTCGCATTATAATTTCACTTTATGGCATCTATTATGATTACAAGCGGAAACGTTATAGAATATTCAAATATCGAATCAAACAGTATAAAACACGCGGACAGTGTAAACAACGAGCGAAATATGTGATGTTTGTGCTAAAAAAAGGATGGTCAGTTTAATTTACATGGTAAGCACGCGGTTAGAATGGACCGTCACGCGCGCCCCGCGCTTAGTTATCAAATACGCTATCATGCATTATACTTTCATGCACCTTGTGACGTAAAATACTATAAAAAATCCGTCCAACAAACTAAAAACAATAAAATGGCCCATATTAATAATAAACACAAACCGAACAAAAAAAACGTCTTCTGAAGCATTTCTGGTAACAATTAGAATATTAATACATTTGGTTTTTCAGAATGACATCGTAGTTAAGATACTGAAAAATTTTATATTATCTTACCCAACTATGTTTTCCTTATTGAAGTTAATGTATTTTTAAAGTATTGTTCCTTTACCTTAGTTTCAGACAAATTCATATCACTTGAAATAAGAATTAACAATCCATAAAAAGTTAAACATTAACAAGAGTTTTGCAGTGGTAATGGCGGATGAGTCGACACGTTTGCGCGTCATTAGCGGTTATCACTTCATTCCAGATGAAAAATCTTCAACAGCCCTCAGCGTCTCTCACGTGCGCGCTAATGATTTATTAATTTTTACCTCCATAAATATGCTGCCTATATTATAAGCCAAGATCCTCATGAACTTAATATCAACCATTTAACATATTGAGTTCGACGAGAAGTAAAGAAATATTTACCAAAAAAAACTATAAATCGGAACTAATATTCATATTCAACTTCTAAACTAATTGTTCATAATGTTTGCATACGAAGGCAGTTTATACATAAATGACTAAGATATATTTTCTCCTTCGTCCGATGTACACGTCTGTCTTGGTCTTGGGTACAAGCTCCTGCAGAGACAAAGTTTATCTCAATCCCAAATGTTTTGCTCTGCTGCATGTTGACAGATTTGCTTGGCATCTTTGGTTTCTAATACTCTCGTTGAAAGTAATTGCAGCTTATATCTTTATTTCTCTGTTTGATAATGTAATTTGTTTGAAATAAAGGCTCGTCGCGGGCTTGGTGCGTGCCCGCCCCGCCGCCGCTCGCGCCGCACCCCCGCCCCGCCGCACTGGAGTGCGACTGCCGACTCAGCAACCCGCGCGATCGATACTCATCTCAGCCTGCCTACTAAACGCTCTTTTGTTCTTGCAAATTAAAGCCTTCCTTTTTGTACGTAACCTTAGATGTAGTACATCCTAATATTTACCTTGAACTGTCAAACCACGTTCGAGAGATTATTTATAATTCGTCTTCGACACCTTCAAATCCAGACTAGGATTCAAAGATAGAGTGTACTGTTGTTGAATGCTTTGCGAAATTCAATCAAGCGACAAAAACCCAAAGTGATAAATAAAGTTCAAGAACTGAACAATACTATCTTTTTAAAATAACGTCTTATGCTGTAATGGGAAGAGGCACAAACTGTAGTTTTTGTCAATTACTTAAATTTCGTTGCGAAATAGTAATTTTCTTATAACAATAAAAAATACGAAGCTTAGATACTTGAATATTAAAAAGGACGTACTTATAGATATTCTTGAAAGAAGGAGCGACATCCTTTAAACAACAGGGTACTTATACAGACAATAAACTCATTAATTAATCATGCGGAGCCACGCAGTCTCTAGTGTAGCGAAGAGTGATCGGCTTGATGTGATATACAAGATTTAAAAATATTGCGTACTATTAAAATAAAATTTTCAATACTTAACAGTAATGAATTTAATTAAAAGAAATTACCTGCTTAGATTTATTTTCCAAGATCCAATTTTAAGCTACATCCAAACATAAATTCCACCAACGTTAGTTGGTAGTACACGACTTTCACGCGGAACCAGCACTCGATACTTTTACCAGAAAAGTTTGCTCACGAAAATTGCAAACTGCAAGTTAAGTATTCGTTATACAATAATAGTGTAAAAACGGGTGCAAAAATATTTAACACTTCACGCATAAATTACATCTTATCAATGTTAAATTGAAAATGCCAATAGCTTAGAAGCAATATTCAGAACATTTTGCTCTGCCTTCATTTCTTCAAGATTTCAAAGCGTGCGCTTCAAATTGGTACAAAAAGCGTTTATGAATTTGCAAGCTTGGTGTAACGCAATTACAATTTTCGATATGTTTTAATTTGTTAGATTAAATACTAGAATTATTTAAGCTTTGTAAATGTATAATACATATTTTAAACATTTATTACCATAACCTCGAAGGTTAGTAAAAGTTACATACACATACATCTACGATGTCAAAAGTATTCAAATCCAGTAATGATTAAGCAAATAATATTTATTGTAATGCTATCGCATTGTATATTTAAAGAAATGTATAATTTAACACAAGTTTTTAAAATAAAATCTACCAAAAGTCATAATATCAATTATCTTTGTTTGTAAAATATAGATAAAAAATGAAATCAGTCACCAAATGTCAAAATACTGTGATGGATCTGATTGTTTGTTTGTAAGAAAAACTCGTTAGAAAGTACGACTAGCCCACAAATAATAACAATTTAAATACCTTTCTCTTAAAAGCATTACCATTCTTCAAATATTAAAGTATATTTTAACACTTGGGTCTTAGGACAATACTCACCTTTTAAAGTTGTTAGCCTTGAAGTAGATGTCATCTAAATGAGTGTTGTTTATTTTACATTTTAGTGATATTAGTCGTAATTTCACGATTATATGGCTCTGATGTTTGACTTATGTTTTGTGACAATTCGGAAGAGGCATGTTTTATCCACGTATTGGGGAGAAAAGTGCAAGTTCAGTAGTGGTCATCTGGATCTATCTCACCGTGTGGTGCGCCGCGTCCATAGCACCTTGCGACAAGACACGCAGGGTGTTCACCGAGCCCAGCGGAGTTATCACGGACGGCCCTACGACCTCTAACTACACTCAAGTCGGTTTTTATACTAATAATTGTTTTACCTTGTAAAGCACTGCAATTAAGTATTTAATGTTTTTCTTTCATAGGATTCACATTGCGAATGGCTCATTAAAGCAGCAAATAAAAGTCAGTACATAACACTGAGCTTTATTCGTATGGGAACAGAATGTTCCTACGACTATGTCTTTGTATATGATGGTGATTCTTTTGATGCACCTCTATTAGGAAGTTTCAGTGGCAAAACTGAACCACAAAATGTCACCGCTTCAAGTGGATATGTGAGTGTTACTTTATGTGTATCTCATAAACTTCAGTTTCAATTTGAAGATATATTTTGCTTCTTTGCCTTGTTACAGATGTTAATACTCTTATATAGTGATACAAACTATGTATTAGATGGTTTCCGAGCAACATATGCTATCCACAACTGTCCGAATAATTGTACTGGGAGAGGGCTTTGTGTGTCACATAAATGCTTTTGTGTAGTGGGTGTGTGGGGTGGTCCTGATTGTAGCGTAGAACTATGTCCCAATGGATGTTCAGGCAATGGCCAATGTAAAGGGGATGGCTGCCAATGCAAAAAAGGGTATGTTTTACACTTCTTCCTTACCAAACGTCAATGTTCTCATTTCCTTTTGTTATTGTCATTGAAAATTGTTTAAGAAAAAGAAGTTAGATTTGGTACAATGAACAGACTGATGACAAAAACTTGTAAATGTAACAATACAAAGTATTCATTAGAAAAAATACTATGTTGACCTAAAAATAAATGGACATTGTTATCTGTTTGTAGTAATGGTTGATCAGATAACAAAATTGAAGGTTTATTTGAGATTTCATGGTACAAAGCAGCAAGTGACAACTGTTATAAATATGTAAACAACTAAAACAATCAATTTCATACATGTTTTAGTCCATTTGTTGTTCATTTTAGTTTATTTATCATAGAAAGCTTATTACTGGCTACCCTTTTCTAAGTGTTAACTTTAAATTAATAGTTATTTTAAGACATTTAAACTTTTATAAAGGGTGATTTATTTAAAACTGGTTTTTATTCTAGTTATTCTGGAGAATCATGCTCACTGAAAAAGAATGATAAAGAAGGCAACAGTTGGCACTGGCTTTCACATACTGAAAGTGGTATGACAAAGAGAGCTGCCCACACAGCTGTTTATGTAAACCACACAGACTCTCTATATGTCTTCGGAGGATATGATCTGAATAGAGTATTAGGCTTATTGGAAATCTATAAGTATGTATAATTGTTGCTATTTTGTTTTACAGTATATCAGGCTCCATAAGTATGTGTGTAATTGCAAAATTCTGGAAACTTGAAGTCTTTAGTTTATAAAATATTTTCATTAAGAATATGTGTGTTTGATTGAAAACATAGATGGTTTGGTACATTTATATTTTTGATAGTGTTTACAATTATCCGAAGCTTTGTAAATGTGTACATTTATGTAGCTACATATAAACATATCAATGCATGCATGAAATAATAAAATTTAAATCTCTTCAGATTTTCTACTAGTCAATGGTATAATGAAAATGGAAGAGTTTTAAGACGATACCCAACAACCGAAGAAAATGATAAATCATTATTGACATTATTTACTAAAGTATGTATTATTTTACAAAATAATAATAGATTAAATATTCTTATTGTATATTATACCTGATGTTTATGTTTCTTTACAGGGCAATATTGATGGCAGCTGGCAGATAGGAAATAGAAGTTCTTTATTCAATTTACTTTTAGCATCATTTTCACATCATGACAAGACTACATTACCTCTTATGTACACACCTACACCTTATTCTGAAAGTTACCTGCAGTTTACTGACAGGCCGGAGTTCTTATCCTCTGGTATTAAATCCAACAATTCCAAACCTGAACCGCGGTACGGTCACGCGGCTTGTGCATTTCTAACAGGATTCATTCTTTACGGAGGGAAATTATCAGATGGCAGCTTATCATCGGAATTATGGTATTATGATGCGGTTTATAATTCGTGGACATTAAGAGCTGTGAATTCAACATTCACGCCGCCCGGACTGACTCGACATACATTGACGGCTGTGAACAATGAATTGTATTTATTTGGGGGGAGTACGGTAGATGGAGAATTTTCCTCAAGGTAAGTTTAAAATGTTATTTATTTGCTAAATGCCAATTAATTTCTTAGTGTAATATGCATCTTTGTAGCATTAAGTACTTTTTTTTACAACTTAGTGTATTGTGTTATTGTTTACAGTTGAATATTTAACTTAAAAGTGTCATAAACATGAAAATTTTATCATTTCAGCTTGTACAAAATTAAATTAGGTGAAGTTAGCAATGAGACCTGGGAGAAGGTACAAGTACGAGGCGGTAAGGAGCTGGATGTACGAGTGGTGTCGCACACCGCAGTCTATCATTCGCATTCTAACTCTCTCTTGGTGTACGGAGGTGTAGTGGCCAGTGTTGCTAGGTACGTTTTAGCTTTTTACCACCACAAGTACCCAGATTTTCGGGGAATTTGGTATATGACACTTAAATAAACTTCTGTTTCCAATTTTTTTGTTTACTAACAACAGTTATGAATGTTTTTAAGGTTTTCGAAATTATCCGATCGTATGTTTGCCTTTGACTTGGATTACAAACATTGGAGTGAAATACATTATCCCAGAGCACACCTTCGTGACACTTATGTACCCAGGGAAAGGGCTTTTCATACAGCAACTCTCATTGGTAAGAAAATCTGACTTATATCATAAATGCGAAAGGATGGATGGATAGATGATTGTTAGTTTGTAGCCTAAACTGCTGAACAGATCTTGATGAAATTTTACATAGATGTACAAAGAAGCCTGGAAGGAAACATACGCTACTAACTAAGTTTTTTTTTTCAATTCCGCGCGGTCTGAGTTACTGGCAAAAGCTAATTTACTTTACTTAATATTTTACTGATAATGTGAATTATAGTTGTTTTACTAATGATATATTTTATTTTAGGTAATTATTTAGTAGTTTTTGGTGGATACTCTCATAGGCATAACCGAGAAGAAATCTGTTATGATGGACAAATGTATTTATATCATCTGGGTTGTCATTCATGGATCCCTCTGGACGTATTAGGCAAAACTAGAAAGATATATCCGAAGAAGCAAGGAGTTTTTGCTCATGCGGCAGCGTTAAAACCTCCATCGACTTTGCTGATAGTTGGTGGATATCATGGAAATGTTAATGGTGATTATTAAATTATTGCTAATATATTTTGAGGTTATTTAATTATGAATGTTTTTGTTAATATTTTATGGTAATTTTTAGGTGACCTTTTGGCATATGTGGTACCCAGTTGGCATGCGGGAATTACGAATAAGGATCCCGAATCGGCCTGTCCTCGGCATCGCAGCCAGCCCGAGTGCCTCGCCGACCCCGAGTGCGGCTGGTGTTCTGCTGACGATGTGAGTTTTTATTGCAATAAAACCTGTTTTGCCAAAGAACATGTTTAACATTTTTTGTTCTAAATGATTTATTCTTTTGTTTTATTTTTGATGACTTACGATTTATTAAATACTCGCTGTAAAGTTAATTAATTCATGTGACTAAGCAATTATAATGTGACGTAAACAAGTAACAAGGGCATTGGAGGCGATAATACTTTAACTGCTTGT